AATCATATAATGATATATAATAATTATAAGTTAAAAATATTATGTGAAAGCGTAACTTATTTTCTTTGTTTTAAAGTATAATTTTTTATTAAATAAAATTATTTAATAAAAATTATGTACATAAAATTTTTTATTTATAACTCATGTATTATAAAAAAAAATTACTTAAAAATTATGTATAAAAAATTAAATGACTTATATTTTAAAACAAATAAGGAAATCACTTTCCACACAATTCACATTTGTGTTGGCGCTGGAGCAACCTGGATTTGATTTGATTTTTTTCCCTTTTTCAGCAGAAATGTTTCATTATCTGGTTATCCCTGATATAGCTAAGCCATCATTTTTTTTTTTCTTTTTCCTTCTTTTTTTCTTTGGTCAGTTGGTGAATGAGATAAGCCATTTTTGCTAAGCTGTTACTTTCAAAAACAGCTGTACTGATACAATGGCTACAGAATCTAAACTGATTTAACATTTAATTTATACATTATATAATATAACGCATACAAAATTAAACATAATTATTCATTATATTATTTTAACTTATAAATTTACATAATATATGCATCTATCTCATATAACCTATCATCACATTTAAAGAAAATTATCTAATTTTCAAACTACTCTTGGGGAAAGTGACAAGCTGCTAGAAATTTCTTTATATTGCCTAAATAAAAAAAAAAAAAAATGGAGGAACCAAACCATAAGTATTTGAAGAAGTTAGTCCTTTTCAACCCAATCAAAACTAATTTTGAATCTTTATTATATTTGTTTGGTACGAGACCAACTCTTCTTATTGGAGAGATTTGGTTAAAAAAAAGGGTTTGATTAACTTGCAAGTTTTAAGTTGTGCATCATTATCAGCTTGAATTGATAGCCCCTCCCCTTATAGTATTACTTTTCTTTGTTTTTTCAATCCCTCATTGCTGTAGACCTGCCTAAATTTCTGATTCGGGTGATTTTTGTCAAAAAGAATTGTTTGAATTTTGAGCAGAATTGATGCATGGCCAGAAAAAATATAAAAAAGAAAAAAAACCAGTAATTTCCGCCAATGTTTATACCCAAAAATTTTAAAAAAATGGGTCTAAAAATTTGTTACTACATGGTGAACATTTATCATTCCACACATGGTTTAGGTCCACATAATCGTGAGCAGAACTGCTCAAATCTTATTGGGCCAGTTCTACGCTTTTATCTGTCTTATTTTCTTAGAAAGCCAAAGGAAAAGACCAAATGCCTCTGCCCTCTACTCTCTGATTTTCTGTTTTGGATGCTACAAGAAAAAAGAAACAAAAACATTGTTACTTTTCCAACGAAAAATTCTGTATAGAACAGGAGAACTCAGGACGGAGCTACCATAGGACAAGGGGGGGGCGGAGCTTTTGAAAAATGTTTAATCTAGTACATCAATTTTTAATTAGTGAAAAATTTATTTTTGATGTTTGAATTACAAGGACATTTTTGAATTTAAAGAAAATATTAGGAGCCAGGTAAAGGGACCATTTCTTTCTTTATAATCAATTCTTAAGACAAAGTTTTATATGGGTATGAAAAAAGGTTTTACATTAATTATATTTTTTTATACAATTTATATTTTATCAATTCAACAATTAGATTTAATATTCTAATTGAAAGTTTATTAATATTTGTAATCACATAAAAAAATTATATTTTATGTGAGATTGATATTTATTACTTGATTTGCAAAAAAAAAGAGGTGAAAAATACTTCAAAATTAGGATGTTCCAATAAAGTATCACAAAAAAATATTAATATATTCTTCATTTTTAACCTAAAAATTTGTCAATTTAGTCTAGTTATTTTAATAGAGTTTATTTGAATAACATAGTTTTGAAAAATTTTTTATGATTTTTTTCTCAATCCAACTTATTAACATTTTTCTTATTATTTTTTATTATTTGTTCAAAAGTATTGAATCGTACGTTTTTAAAAAATAATTAAATATATTTAATTAATTTAAAGTTTAGCATATATGTTATAAATAGTATATTTACCTATAAAGTTGGTGATTAATATAGAAATTGATATTTTTTTAATGTAAAAATTATGGATCAACTCAAGACCTATAACTAATAGTATGTTTTGATTGAAAAAATTGGAGGGGGGAGAGGAAGAATTCTTTTTAATTTAGATCCAAATGAGGAGAAGGGAGGGGAGGAGAATAGAGGATAAAAATATATATAACTCTACTAACAAATTATATAATTAATAATTAATAACTGATATAAATTATGTTGAAATAAACTTATTATAACTCTATAAAATTTTAAAATTTTGCCCCCTCACCCAAAAGTCAGGCTCCATCAGAGAACTGG